TGTTCATCAAACAAACAAACAAAAAGTCATAAAATCAGTTGCTTCACGGTTCTAAAGGAGCTATTCATAAAAGTTATGTTAATACCTTACCATTATTTTACACTTCCATAAGTGATTTACAGACATGATTTAACTCTTTTTCCTTGAAACCTCCATGAGGTAGGCAGGTATGTAATTGCAGACCTTGAAACTCATAGATGTTAAGGGATTTTCTTAAGGTTACACAGCAATCTCTTGGCAAGGTAGGATTGCATATTAGATCTTGAGATCCAGCTTTCAGAAAATTATAAAAACATTCCAATATAATATTTGTTTGAAAATGTTTTAAAGCTTATTTCAAAATTATGTTGCCCCAGAATAATATTCATTTTATGGAAGTTTCTAAATGAAGAAACTTGAGAACTGTCTAGTTTTTGTGGATTCCTATAATATGATACATGTGACATTCCTGTTAGGGGAATAGTAGGAGTAAGTCACACTCTTAAGCACCGTGTTATGATGTGTCTGCCTCACATGGATTACCATGTGTCAGTGGAAATAGGGTTTCCCAAATTGGCACCACTGACATTTAGGATCAGATAATGCTTTGTTATGAGGAGTTACTGTGTGCATTGTGGGCTGCTTAGCACCATCCCTGGCCTCTACCCACTAGATGCCACTAACAACTCCCCAGTTATGTCAAATAATGCCTCCAAATATTGTCAAATCCCCTTGGGGGCAAAATCATTTTTTGTGGAGAATCACTATTATAATTTGACTGACTATGCAAGTAAGTGAAACTGTGGAAAACTGGAGGTTCCTTTCCATGTTCTCAGTAACTTGAGTATTGATTCACAAAGTTGGAAGGATAAGGTTGGAATTAGGTTTCTAGAAACCGATGAATATAGAGTTAGTGAAAACAGTCACTTCCCTGACTTTTAGGACAGAAAGTAATTTTGACAAAAGAGAAATTCTCTGTGCAAAGACATAAAAAGTCTTCTTTGTGCCATGGGAATGACTAATGTCTGGAGCTAGTAGAGCTACAGTCAAGTAAGAGACTTTTAGAAGAGATATCTTATTTTTACAGATTTGGGCCAAAACCAAAACTTGTTTGAAATAACTAATCCAGAGGAATTCTCATAATTTCTTATGGAGTAGCAATTCAGGAAATAAAAGGGCTAACTAGTACTTTAATATTTGTTATATGTTATTAGAAATTGATAAAAAAAAATCTTTACCAAATAGGATTCAGAAACTACCTTCTACTTCTGTCAGAATTTTACTAATTGTGTTGTTCAGGCTCTACGGAACTTTTGGTGCTCCATTTTTGTTCTGCCCATGAATTTTTTTATTAGATCAAAACTTTTGTTACTAACAGAACAAGATTCTCAGACTCTGCCGTCAGTTGTTTAGCAATTGTTATAATGAGATGAAGCTTCCTTCAATATTCTCTGCTAAATGCCTGCTCTCAGTAAGTCATTGCTCTAGAAATATCTATGTTCTGCATTTTAGTTCCTCTTTGACTTTGGGAGGAACTTATAAACCTGCTCCTTTGACAGGAGGATTAGCTGCTAGATTTAGGATCGATCTATAAATAAGGTCTTGAAAATACTTTCAGGAAGGTATATATTAATAGTCTTATTTTACAGATGAGGAAGTTGAGACACTGAGATGTTAAATAAGTTGCCCACATTACAGATTAGGGACATAATGGAAATTCAAACTCAGGGCTGTCTGATGACCAAGGTTATGTTCCATCATACTGCAAGACCTTCCTGTCTCCCATGAAAGGTGGTAGCAGCATTCTTACAGACTTTTAAGCAACTAATATATGGTATATGTATATATTTATACCTGTAATACACATATTTTTAGCTATGGAATAATTTGGGGTGTATGTGGAGTAGAATGTTGAATATTGATGCAAGAGAGGAAAGTCAGAAAAGAAAAGGATCCCAAGTATGAAACAATGTTTGGGAAGATAGCCTATTTATTATTTTATTTCTTCATGCATCCATCTATTTGTTCAATCATTTATTCATTCATTCATTCAACAGGCACATAATAAGCCTAGCATGTGCTAGCCAATGTGGTATTGGACTGATGTGGCTCATGGATCTCTTGGTGGGAACTACATAGAGTGGACTTATAAGAAAAGCCAGCTGGGGCTCCAGGAGGGTAAGGGAGCAAAGAGTGGTATTACTATCTGTGAGATAAAGGGAAAGATGCCAAAACCCTGATAGGGGTTTCACTCAGGGAGAAAAGGGAGAGAAACCTGTACCTACTTTACAGATATGTCTGGGGATACTGTCTACATGAAATTAATTACTGCTCCCAGCTCAGCCTTTATATCTCCATGACCTTACCAGTAGTTACAAGGGTATAAATATACTTATAGCTACTTACTCGTATCACCTCTAATGCAGCTCTGATGTAGCAGGTATTTGTGGTGTCAAAAGAACAGTAAAAACATGACGAAGATTCACTTAGAATCACCAGTTTACTTAATTGGCCCTCATTTGACATTATAGGTTCGCATATTGAGGCCAGTCCATGCAACCTTTATACAAAAATTTGAGCTTAAAATTTAGCCTTTTAAGAAACATAGAATTCATTTTAATCTGGAAATTTTTATTTTAGGAACTCCTAGAGTAAATGGGAACAATTTATAGCACAGTAAAACAATATTTGATTGTTTTGGGGTGTTATTAAAATGGGCTGGCAATTTTATTGTACTTGAATATAAAATAGTTTGAGTGACTATCATGAAATTTTTTTCTAAATCTCTTTCATGTTTTTTCCTTTTTGGTTTATAAATACCATTAATATCAAGTGACTGCAACTGTATGGGTTAATCTGGCTTGGGAATTGACAAGAAATAAAGTGCAACTAGTAATTCAAGTTATTTTCTCTTCACAGTGGTAATGCTCATTAAATTATAAATAACTATTATGGCGTAGTGAGGGGTTTGCAATGGAATTTAAAAGAGCTGTTGCACTCATGAGTATAATTTTATCTCTTGCAAATTATGGCATGTCTGTTTATAGTAATAAGGTATTATAGAGATCACTGAGTAATAGGTAGTTCTCATGGGAAGATGCTATCGTTGTCTAACCTTTCCCCATTGATGTTACCATTGGAAGGCAGAGTTATAATATATCAATGAAAACACAGGGCCATGCTCCTCCTCCTGCCCCCATGACTCCCTAAATCCACGTAACTGAGTCAGATTGCCAGATATGCAATTCTCATATAGAATGAGTGCCCCATGATTTCAGACCCTCTACTGGTATCTCTTTGATTATTCAACACCTCCTCAAACAAGCAATAGCATTAGAAAACCAGCTTGCTGTCCTTCAAGTGAGGTGTTGGTTTTGTCTGTGCTTGAGCTTTTCAGGCCTTGTTTTACCTATAGGACAAGTGAATAACTCTAGATAGCAGGTACATTATAGGATATAGAGAAAGGAGTAGAGGAGTAGGAGGCTTCAATGATGATACCCTGTTTCCATCAATGACAAGTAAGCTTTTCAAACTAAAGCTGGTGAAAGACTTGAGAAAGTTTATTTGCAAGTCAAGCCTGCTTGAGGTATTCTGTTACTTGAATATCCCCAGGCTTCATTGGTCTGTGGTTACAAATAAAGCCGGAATATTAATAATATTCCAGTCTTGATGGCTAACTCCAATTGCAACAGAAGATATCAGGCCCCTACAAAATTCCCTCTCTCAAGACTTTTCAGTAGTCCCTGGAGTATGTCCCATATGAGCTCTCCTGCAGGGCACTGCCACCTTCCCACCAGGTCTCCACTGAGTACTTCTGTCTCTGCTCACCACCACTGATGTGTGTCCATTGTTACGAGTAATATCAGTTTCCTAATGCTATCATAAAAAATTACCACAAAGTTTATGATTTAAAATAACAGAAATTCATTATCTTATATTTTAGAGGTCAGAAGTGTAAAACGAGCCTTATGGGGCTAAAATCAATATGTTGGCAGAGCTGTGTTCCTTCTGGGGAATAAGGGGTGAATCTGTTTCCTTGCCTTTTACAGCTTCTAGAGGTTGCCTGCATTTCTCAGCTCCTGGACCCATCTTCCATTTTTAAAGTGCATCACTCCAAGCTCTGCTTCCATTTCCCTATGGCCACATCTTTTTTCTGACTCTAATACTTCATCCTCCTTCTCATAAGGAATCTTGTAATTAAACTGGACCCTCTTGGAAAATCTAGGGTAATCTTCCCACCTCAAGATTCTGAGCTATTAATAAATCATACCTGCCAAGTCCCTGTACCATGTAAGGCAATATATTCCCAGGTTTTGGGAATTAGGATGTGGAACTCTTTGGGGGTCCATTATTCAGTCTACCACAGAAGCTTCCTGCCCAGACATGGATGCTGCTGTCTAAATATCTCCACCAATGCCCTGGAATTCCTACAATACAGGAGTGGTACTGGGCACCAAACAAAGAGGGTGGGGAGAAACAGGCATCACCCTACTCTATGTCATACCTCAGAAGCACACGCCTCAAAGTCCCCATGAAAAAAGTTGTTCAGCTTCTACTTCTGTTCCTCTCAGTGAAGAGCTCTGATGTAGTTCATAGGCCTGGGCTGGGGCCCTTCATCATGTGCTCTTCTCTTTCCATTGTACTTTATTCCTGCAAAGTGAACAGTCCCACATAAAACTTCCTACTGGTAGACTTTTTAATGTGGAGAATCAACACATGTATGTAGTGCTAGGGCATAGTCAACTCCTCAGTATCAACATGGCTAAATCTTAGCTCAGGCCTGTGTTCTCCTGATATAATTCATTAATTTGAGAATTAACTAATCCATCTTAATTCATTCCCACAAAACCCACCACTAAATGAAAAGCCAATATATTAAAAATGTTCTCATTAAATTTAATGAAAAAATTATGATACATCCCATCTCAACTAGCCTCCTCCTAAGATATTGAAAACATTCAATACTTGCACCTTCCTCTATGACATTCATGTTAATAAATTCAGATCCCATTCATTCACAGTATGTGTTACGATGGACCTGCTGTGGGGCTAGAAGTTGGATGGATGACGAAAGTCATTGCAAAGGGTAGATAACATTATAAAGGTAATGTTTAAAACTATTGAAAAAAGCATAGTTGACTCCAGTTTAAAAAATCTTTTGTTCATGTAAATAATTGATATAATAATTATGCACACAAGTGGCCTAATCACTTTGGTAGATTCTTTGCTACCTCTGATAGAAGCATTTAATTAGCATAATTCTAATCAAAATGTAGTATATAATGAAGTCTGAGCCATATGGTAAAATATCACTTCTTATATTTATTTAAAGGGGTTTTGGGTGAAAATCGGCTATATCAATATAAAAAGAAATTGTTGGAAAAATGATAAAACTTTTCAGAAGACAATATTTACTTTTGCTACCTAAAGAAAGTCTATATTTATTAGACACTTACTTATCCAAGCTCAGGGATTTTAAGATAAAGAAAACAATCCTTATAATGAAGAGTTTCACTGCTTAGTGGGAGAGATCAGGAAGTATTAAGCCTGCACAGAAACAAGCCAAACCATTAATATGGTTATCAGGGAATGAATTGCTGAACAATTTATTTTTTTATTCAATATATTGATTTAAAAATATACAGTGAACCTGCATAACTTCTATAAGTAGAAACACTTAAAATTTATCTTTATGTTATCTACTTACTATAAGTTAACAGCAAGCTACAGTTAAGCCACTGAGCACATCCAACACTCATTTCAAATTAAAACTATCTCTTAGACCTCAGAATTGGCATTGTATAATTATAAGCCACATCTCTAACTTAAAGCTGCTCTGTCATGTCTTCTCCAGCACAGGCCTGACTCTCCAAATCTTTAGGCTTTCTTGAAGGGGATACGATTCTAGTTGGCTCATGGGTTCTGATAAACTCCGTAGTAATCCCAATGGAGTTATAGAATGTTTGAGTTGGAAAGGTCCTTGGAGCTTAAAGGTAACTTGTAATTACAACTGGAAAAATAGAGGCCTGCATCAGTGATACGAGCTTGGCAGTAATGTGAATTATTGGCACCATGACTGGGCAGAAATTACTCATGTGCTTCTCTTAAATAAGGTGCCAGCTTAAGCTTCATAGGACCTACTATAAGAGATCCTAAGATTCCTAGCACCATTCAACCTGGATCAAAATTAATTACCAGCCAAAATCCAGTGACTTCTTTCTGTACTTTCCATCTGTCTTAACTTTGCTGCCAAGACCAGTTGCAGCCGATCAGAGAATACAATGTAACCCATGGCACTACCCTCAAATTTGGCTCTTCTTTTTGCTTTCTGGGCAGGCCAGCCACCTTTACAAGTGACCACATTTTTTTGATGTCTCATCAATTGGTAGTCTGATATTTGGCTGCTCAGTTCATATTTTCTCAGCACAGATCGCTTTGGTCTGTGACTTAAAAGGTGGGCTCTGGCATATTATTCTGCATCTCTCTCCAGCCTGGACTTGCTTCTGGGCCTAGTCCCTCCTGGCTAAACAAAGATATTGGTGAAACAAACAAAAGCATTGCCCTTGAGCTGCCTTTTTCTCCTCAGCTTTGCTTCTACCCTTCCCCAAGTTGTTGAATCTCGCCCTGTAACATTAGAGGCTGGGGCTGGAGTACTCTTTCTTTCATTGTGTACAAAACTTCCAACCTTCTCCTTCAAAGTGAAGGGTGACAAGTAGGGCACTCCAAAACTTTCTGTTAGAAGACTTTATAGCTTAATCACTCAGGGATAAGTTTAAAGCTTAAAGAAACCTATGTTAAAATTCTAGCTCCCCCAGTTGCTTACTATGTAGCTTTGTGACTTTGGGCAAAAACTTAGTTTCTCCATCTGCAAAACAAAGTTTATAATAGCACCAACTTATGGAGCAGAGTCATTGAAATGATGCAGGTAAAACTCTTGATGAGTTCCTGACATGTAGTAAGAACTCAGCAAGCAGTAGCCTTGAGTATTCCTTTTCTTCACTAACTCCCCAGACGCCACACTGGGACTCTCATTTATGGGACCTGTGTACTGACATTCAATGTGCATATTCGGTTTGTACCAAATTATGTTTGTAACTGATAATCAGATGTTGACATTGACGGTGTGATATTGGTACCATTTTCTGGCATTAAGATTTGTTTGAATATTTTTGCTTTTTGGGGTTATTTTTCTTAATTTTACTGAGCTTCAAGGAGGGCAGTGATTTTAAAATAGGCATTCTCTCCATCATCTTTCCTAGAAGTACTGCCAAATTATTTTTCTACTTCTAATATACTACTTTGAACAGAACATGAGTGCAAAGTTTGCGTTTAATAAAACATGATACTAAAAATTACATGATACTTAAAAACTAGGTGTAAAGAAAAAAATGTAGAGTTTGTCGCCTTATTTTATTTAAGGTATATGACCAAATTAATTTTTTAATGTTTTTTTTCTTTTTAAATCTTGGAAGTCCCACATAGGTCAAATCCCATGATTCAAACTTTTTTTTTCTTGGCTTCCTGGCTCTAATGCAATGATTAGATTTCTGTTTAGCTGCTATTTCTTTTATAAATTTTTGCAGTGCTACTCATGTGATTTTTTTTTTCCTTTTTGCAGAACAGGAAATAACCACTTGGCCTTGTTTCTGGTGGTTTTGCCTGTACCAGCATGTCCTAGAGAAATACAACCCATGACAAACCTCAGAATGTCAGGGGAAGATGAATGGCCTTGAATATTTTGAACAATGTAAATTCAACAGAGTATAGAATATCTTACATTTTAGGCTAAGCTCCATTTTCTGGAAAAAAGAAAATATGGCTAAAATGTTTCGTAGTATAAATCAGCCTTGATTCTTTCAAAATCATTCAAAGAATTGTATGTGCTGATGACAAGTTCTTTGCTTTTTAATGATGGTGTATATGAGTAAATCAGAGCCTTATTTCAAGATTACTGTCAATTTATGCCTTTTACTGACATTAACCTTCCTCTAAAATGAGATCATTTACGTTCACCTTTCAATTGACTGGCTGACATTATAAGTCGCCTACTCTAAGATTTAATCAAGTATAAACTGAATATCTTCTCTGGGTCACGTTACCTAGTCTAGTAAAATTTGTTTGAAGTAAGGCCCTTAATGCTGATCATTGAGCTCACACTGCCCTGGGTTCATAATTTCCTTAACTCCTTGCTTTCTGAAATCTTTATTTGCTTCACTTTTCTTTGTTTCCGTTTTTCCCCATCACCTTGTGCAGGAAAGGTGAGAGCTAAATCTATTGAGTGTGTTTGTTGCCATGGTGAAGAAAATAGTACAATTCCACAGTTAATAAAGAGTATCAGGGTGAGGAAGGTATTTCTTCTAAGCTCCCATGATTTTCATTTCATTACAGTGGAACTAAAGAGCACTGACAGGCCTGTTGAAGCAAAATCTTATGTTAGATGTAGTTCAAAATGTCATGCTATTCACTCAGAATATAGTACTTTCCTTTGAGAAATTATTTAAAATGCTTACAATGGAGAAACATTTTAAAAGGGACTTCATGTGGTCATTTACTTCCCAACTGAAAAGAAATTGGTATTCTACAGATTTCCATTTTGAAAACTGGACAGTAACAGAGTAATACTGTTACAAAATCCCATATTAATTCATGCTTTAAAAATGATTTATGGCTTTCTAAAGGAAAATGCCTACATTTAGCTGTCCCATCTAAACTTGAGTGTGGAAAGTATAAAGAACTTTATCTTTCACAAATACAAAGGGTAATGCATTTTTAGTAATGCATGTGGTTCTGAACAGAAAATCTTTCGCGTATCCTTTCTCATCTCTCTTTCCATTTCTTCTACTTACTCCTCCTGCCTACCTCAATCTTTCTTCACAAGTACTTACAGATTCACAAGGTCAACTGTGTTAGGAATTTTTACTAGAAGAGAGAGAAGAAAGTAGCTAAGGTCCAACAGTGTAGCTGAAAGTCTTTGCCCCATGAATTTTTTATTTGTTAGGTAATTCAAAACACCACAGCTGAACCTTGTGTTAGAGCTCACATCAACTTCACAATCTTTAATATAAATGGAAGCAAATAGAAAACTTTCTTAATTGCACTCTTTTCCACTTATCTAAGTCTAATTTACTATGATGAAATTCACTTTGGTGAGCATTCCATTGTTTCAATAAAGAAAGAAAATAAAGAAAAATAAATTTTTAAAAAGTAGATTGAAGAAAAGAATATTTGAAAATAGCAAATTTCCAACTTTTAACTTCATTGTTAGGTTGCCAGGTTCCTTATGAACGCTGAGATTGTTAGAACTGCAAATAAAATAGAATAAAATATTGAAGTAACTCGTGTTGAAATCTTCTGATACACAACACAAAGGTATGTTATGTAAGAAATTTTCTGTCTGAATATACTTCAAATAATAGAAAAAACTGGAAAAAGAAAGATGAATGCATTCAAAGCTTTCTTTAGGGGAAAGAAAGCATTAAAAATAGGTAGTAGACATTTTGTTAAAAAATTATGTTGGAATAGGTGCTATTGAGATGGATATATGGGAAACTGGAAGAAGTAATAATTGTGGGATACTCATGCTGTGCTATGCACCTCAAACAATTTATCTTGTATAATCTTTGTTTATTGTCAGCCTGAGGAGGGTGGGTAGCATTGTATACATTTTCACAAATAAAGGGAGAAAAGAAATCTTTTTCTCAAGCTCCTAGAATAGAACACTTGAAGTCAGGTCCATAGGATGCCACATCTTATTGTCTGCCCCCTGCTGATAAAGGAAGCAAAGGTTTCCAGTATTTTGGATAAAGGGGCATTGAAGAGAAACTGGAGAGAGCAAATTCATAAATTTGCCTGGTTAATTCCATTTTATTATTATTTCTTATAAAACAAAATAGATGTTCCGATGGTCACATGACCAGGGAATTTTATTTATTCAGCTGGACATTGCAAGTCTGAGTAATCATCCTCCAAATCTCACTTCCATTTAATTATAACCTATTGACTGTATTTTTCCATTTTACAGACAATGACAATATTTATTTGGATCCATTAAACAATATAAATCTGAGCATTTTTAAAGATCACATCAAACTTAAGAGAAAGACTGTACCTCAAGACATAGAAGAAATAAAAGACATGGACACTGTGTCTTAAGAACATAAAATCTAAATGTTGAGTCAGGTCAAACCAAGAAATGTAAATGCATTTGAGACTCATATCAGGAAGCACAACACAGATGTAGACTGATATGAATTTCTTTGCAGATAAGGTCCAAAGATCCAGACTGATGATAAGCCCAAAGCTCATTGAGGACAATTACCACTGGATTCTCCTACAGAAGGCTGCAAACACAGTTGTGGATTTTTACTAAAGTTACAAAGGTAAGGGCTTTTAGTAAATTTTATTTCATAGGCAGTATTTAATTAAAAATAAGCTAATATTTTTGGTTTTTTCTTTTGAAGCTGTTAGTTTCTGGGTAAAATCACACTCTACAATAAATAGAAGTAATGGCTTACCATAGATTACATATCTACCTTCTATAATGGAACATTTTTACAATAATTGATACTTATTCATTTATTCTTTTATTAAAATACGTTGCGTATCTCTTGTTTACTAGGCATTGAGTAGGAAACAAAGCATGGTGTTTTATATTTTAATATTGAACATTATAGATCATAAGAGTCTAAAACAAGGCAACAGAGTTTTCCAAAGTGATTTTCAAAGCACTAATTCTTCAAGATTCTTCCCATCCCTAAAGGGCACCATGGCCAAATCCATTTGGTTAAACATTGCAATGACTTAGAAAGCCTATGAGAAAGAAGTCCCTCTGGCTTTGCCAAGCCCAAAACACTTTTTTTTAAACCAAGGATCATTGATTAACATCCTGTTGCACAAAACATCCTAGGTGAGATGTCAGCTCAGAGCAGGCCTATTTGTAGTACTAGTTCTGCAGCACAAAGATGTGAGAACAAGTGGGCAGATGCCAAATTCTGGAAGAGGTAGAAGAGTAGAAAAATTCTTTCATTTCTTTCATTTTTTTGACACAGGGTTCTGCTCTGTTGCCCAGGCTGGAGTGCAGTGATGTGATCTTGGCTCACTGCGACCTCTGTCTCCTGGGATCAAGTGATTCTCCCACCTCAGCCTCCCGAGTAGCTGGGACTACAAGAATGCACCACCATGCCTGGCTGATTTTTGAATTTTTTTGTAGAGAAGGGGTTTCACCCTGTTGCCCAGGCCAGTCTTGAACTCCTGGATTCAAGTGATCCTCCTGTCTCAGTCTCCCAAAGTGCTGGGATTATAAGTGTGAGTTACCACTCCTGGCCCAGAAAAGCCTTTTAAGCATGTTACAGCTCTGTTACCAAGAGATCAAACATAGAGTTGTTTGGAATAAAATCAACCATGGTGAAAGACATTGCTACATAGGCTCTAAAGTCATACAAACTCCTTCCTTCCATCTGTCCCTCCCACCCTCCCTCCCTTCCTCCCTTCTTCCTTCCTTTCCTCCATCCCCAAGGAAAGATACATACCTATAGAGAGCTATAATCTACTTACTCATAATTGATTCTTTCCAAGAAGATATAAGAACGTAAACATTTTCAGGTTTCCCATATCTAAAAATATCTTATTTTACCTTCACAATTTTAGGATAATTAGGCTGAGGATGGAATTCTAGATTCAAAGTAATAGTCCATCAAAGCATTGAATATATTGTTACATTCCCTTCTAGCATCTGGTATTGGAAACAAGAAATCTGGAATTCTGATTTGCTTTCTTTCTTTTGTTTGTTAATAATTTGTCTCTCTGGAAACTTTTAGAATTTTCTGGGCAACTTTATCTCCCTGTAATTATATCTATTTTATAGCCTGATATTGTTTATTTTAATATACTCTTTCACCTTGATCAATCTTGCCATTTACTATCCTAAAAAAAGAAGCTTAGACTCTCCTAAAAGCTAATAAGTGTGTAAAAAGATATTCAGCATCATTCAGAATCACAGGATGCAAATTCATTTAAAATGAGACATTATTATGCAGCTGTTAGACTGACAAAAATCTAGGTAATGATACGTTTTAACAAGAATGAGGAGAATGTGGTAACCTCAAGCACTGCTGATGGTAACGTAGGTTGGGGTGGCCCTTCTGGAGAGCAGTTTGGCATTTGGCACTAAGTGTAAAGACTGAGCTTACATCTACCCAGGATCTAGCAACTCTGTTTCTGGGTGTATATATATCCCCCACCCCATCGGCACAACACTTTTATGGATAGAAGAGGAGGGAGGGAGGGAGGGAGGGAGGGAGAGAGAGAGAGAGAGAGAGAGAGAGAGAGAGAGAGAGAGAGAGA